GTGTAGTGGTTTATTGCGGCAGTTACAGCTGCCCAAGTGATTGAGTGTTCAATTCCCGGTCATGGCATTCTTTTTTTCTGGTCTAATAATAATAACAATAATAAATAAACAGAAATTGTAAACTCTTTCTGGACTCCATATGGAGTCTGGCTGGTTGACTGTGTTATGAGGTGGAGTCCATGCAGTCCAAATGGTGGACCTGGACTCCAGTTGGAGTCCAGGTGGATCCTAGACTAACATTTGGCTGGGTTGCCACCAGAGAAAAAATCTGGATGAACAGCAGTAATCCATCTGGAGTCCGCCAGAGTCCATCTGGAGTACCGGAATATGTGGAGGAGTGTAAAGTCCTCACAAACGGCGCCACCACCAAACGGCTGACATGGCACACCCCATCCGGGTGTGCCACGTCGACGGCGATTTTCTCGATGATGAATGCCCATGACCCCACGACGAGGGACGACAACCCCACCACCATGTTCCACCACCACCACACACCACCACGACAGCCCACACACTGATGCCAACGAGGAAACGGCGGTGGCGCCCAACAAACAGTGCCACCACCAAATCGCTGACGTGGCATGCCCATCTGGGTATGCCACATCGACGGCGACTTTTTCGACAATGAACGGGACCCCACAACCACACCACCACCACCTTCCGCCACCACCCATGAACAACGAGCGCCCACGGACAACGATGGTCCCCCCACCCACGGACGAATGACAAACACCCACAGACAACGACCACCCACGAGCGCACACGGACAACAACGAGCCCCCCATGCACGATGGCCCCCCATGCACGACGGCCCCCCATGCACGGACGACGATGCCCACGCACGGACGACGATGCCCACGCACGGACGATGATGCCCACGCACGCACGGACGACGATGCCCACGCACGGATGACGATGCCCACGCACGGACGACGATGCCCACACACGGACGACGACGACGACCCCCCACCCATGAACAACGAGCACCCGCGGACAACGAGCGCCCACGGACAGACACGACCCCCCCAGCACTGCCGACGAACGGCGAATGAGGCTGCCACCGACGAGCAGTAATGAGTGCCCACCCCCAGTATGTCCCCCTCCATTTCTATCCTTCCTTCCTGTCTGTCCCCTCCCTATCTGTCCTTCCTCCCTGTCTGT